CAGTCTTCAAGATGGTCCAGATGTGTTTTTCATTTTGTTTGATATGCTGTAGTATGTTTTTAAGCGTCAAATGGCTTTGATGGTGGTAGTGGTGGTGGTGTTTTGAAACAAAGTCTCATTCCACCACCCAGGCTAGAGTTCCATGGCCTCAGCCTAGCTCACAGTAACCTCAAACTCCTGGGTTCAAGAGATTCTTCTGCCTCAGCCTCCCAAGTAGCTGGGTCTACAGGCACCAGCCACAATCCCTAGCTAATTTTTTTCTGTTTTTAGTAAAGACAGAGTGTCTCTCTTGCTTAGGCTGGTTTCAAACTCCTGAGCTCAAGTGATCCTCTTGCCTCAGCCTCCCAGAGAGTGAGCATTACAGGTGTGAGCCACCGCGCCCAGCCCAAACAGCCTTGTTTTGTTACTGCCACTGATGTGTAACCATGGGCAGCCATTTCTTCTTTCTGGACTCCAAGCTCTTTACCTGGGCAGTTTGTAACCATAACCTCTAGGAACCTTCTGATATTTAAGATGTGATATTTAGGCTGGCATGGTGGCTCATGCCTATAATTCTAGCACTCTGGGAGGCTGAAGTGAGATGATCGCTCAAGTTCGGGAGTTCAAGACCAGCCTGAGCATGAGATGCCATCTCTACCTAAACAAACAAAAACAAAAAAATAGCTGAGCATGGTGACAGGCAGCTATAGTCCCAGATACTCAAGAGGCTAAGGCAGGAGGATTGCTTGAGCCCCAGAATTTGATGTTGCTGTGAGCTATGATGTCTCCAAACAAAAAAAAAGTGATATCTGCTTTTTACTTTTGTTCTTGTTGGGGTCAAACAAGCCAACAGAGGCAGACTGTGTAAGCCCTTATTGTGGAGTCCTCCTGTGGAGTCTGAAAGTCTAGGAAATAACCATTGGATTGGATGTTAATAATGATGATGTGTAAGAATAGTGACTGATATTTTTGTAGCACCTTTACCAAAAATACAGCCATTTGATTCCCCTGCCACTCCTTCCTGACTACAAAAGTAGTCATTGTAGACAGTCCTATGAGGGGAAAATTACCAACATCCCTACCAGGAAAATGCACTCCAAGGCAGCCCGGTGACTCAGCCCAGGAAATGCTTCCAGGTCACAAATGTGTCCCCGCCTTCCCTAGACCTCTCAACCACGAGGCGCTGGAGCCAGCATCTAACCTCAGCCCTTTTCATAAATGTTTCCTTTTTCATTCAAAGAAGTATTAAATGCTTATGAAACATATTTTTTAAATGCCCAAAAGTGGAAGGAAGGAAGAAAAAAACATCACCAAACATCATCCAACACCTGTAGCCCCCCAGGGCCACCATCCTCAGGCCGTTCTTCAATTCAAAACATGGCTCTCCACGTAGCAATTTGTTTTACTTGGTTGTTTCCGGTTGTTCTCGTACACACCATAGAATTTTATGTCTTGCTCTTTTCACTGAGCATTATAGCAGAATCAGTCCCCAGCTCTCTTTCACTCACTCACGACTGCAGGGTGACATGCTGTTGCTTGCCATTCTGTGCCTTTCCCAGCCCTTCTGCTGCTGCTGGGCATTTGAGATAACAAACCCTCAGCTCAGAACTTGTGCTTTTTACACTTTAGTGGGGCACCTGCCAGTCTAATCTCCATCATGCTGTCAAAGCTAGAAAAAAGGGGTGGAGAGAGAAAGAGAAAGAGAGAGGTGCTGCCTCCCCAACTCAGATAGCAGAGCTAATCCCAGGTGACTTCTGCGTGACTGGGCCCTGGCCCTACAGACATAGCAAACATCAGTATGCATTTAATTAAAGCTTCGCCTCTTCTGTTTGACTCTGTATTTGGTTACCAGTGTGTGTCTGTTTTCCCAGCTCCTTGAGGGCAAGGGCCTTATCTTTGAGTGTTGACTCTCTTGTGCTGAGTGTCAACCAGAGGAGAAAGTCAGCACCCAACACTTCCATTGATTGATTGACCAAATTTGAGTAGGGCACTGAAAGTGCATGATAAAGGAAGACTCAGCCAAATGTGACTGCCATGATTGAAATTTTTATGTGCTCTGAGAAAAAGGAGTTTATTTAACTCAACAGTCAGTGAAGTACCCAGGAAAATCAGCCTACTAGAGCAAGTTGCGAAGTTGCTGGATCTCCAGTGAGCTAGAATCCCATTCCAACTCATTCTCGGGGGGGGGATTTGGTTTGCGTGGCACTCACCTGAACAGCATCCTGGTTGGGAATGCAGCCTTCAGACTACATGTGCTGCGGGCCATGGATGCACATTCCCCTGTGTTGAACTTGACCTTAAGGCCTTAAGTTTGGAGCCAACCAGCAAGATCCCAGCTTATATATGGTCTGAGGAAGAAGGGACCATGGGGACAAGGAGAGGAATTTATCTGGTGGACACAAAACTCTGTTTGACAGTCAGGTTCTTGGCAGGAAATGGATGACTCTGAACGCGCTAGATTCACTTCCTAAAGAGCTCTGTAGCTGTTGCGGTTAGCACCCTCTAGCCCGGGGGCCCAGAGTCTGGAAGCAGGAGCTATGGAGAAAAGCCAATTGGAGGATCCATTTTCTTGTATTTCCTTCCACTTTTGTTAGCTGAATTCCAGTCTTGGAGGGCTAGGTTCACTGGTGAGGTCACAGGTCTTGGAAAGAGTCACAATATCGCCCCCTGCTACACAAACCCACAGCCTATTCCCTGCCTCCTGCAACCTCAGGCATCTAGAAGACAAATGAATGGGGCATATGTAGAAAGACAGGCCAGGCGAGGTCACATGTTACCAAACATCCTGGAGAACCCTGATAGTAAAGTCACCAAAGGGGCTTTTCAATCTTCAGCTTCCCAAGACCAGCCCAGCAGAAACCCAAACAAAATGAGGATGGGGAAGAGACCGCTTAAGCTAAAGAGGAGAATGCCAAGTGACAGCAATGCCACCTGTTTCTTAAGAGAACTAGGAGCATGCTCTTTGGAGTCGGAAAAACCTATATTTGAAACTCAGCTTTGCTGTATGGCCTTGAAAAGTTACTTCATGTTCCAAAGGCTCAGTTCGCTCATCCATAAAACAGAAATAATAATTTCTACCTAATAAGAGTGAGAAAAAACTAAATGAAGTAACGAATGCAAAGAACCTATTCAGCACTCAATAAAGCACTCAAAAATGAAAGGTGATGAACATCACTATTATTAAGGCCAAGGTGTATTGATGGACTTTCCATCACTTCATTCTGTGCCGGCAATCCTTGATTCTGTAATTGTGAGTTCTCTCTCCTCTCCTCTCCTCTCCTCTCCTCTCCTCTCCTCTCCTCTC